CACTCATCAATTGGAAAGATGTTCTTCTCCATGACAATGCACGTCCACATGTGGCATGTTTAACACAACACAAGAACCATATTCTCTAGATGTGGCACCATCAGAATACCATCATTTTCATTCGCTGCAACACCATCTTAATGAGAAAACATATGCAAATATGGAAGATATTAAAGTCAAGTGATTTCTTTAATCAGGGCATTAACAACCTGATTGTAAGATGGAAAAGCATCATCAATAAAGATGGAGACTATTTCATTTAATAAGTGTTTTGTTTTGATATACAAGTTTTTGGGCTTTTTCCTCTAAAAAAAGTGGCATTAATTTCTTGAGGACCTAATAGATTAAATATGATAATTAATATACTTTATTTCAATATATTTTATGTAACAGGTAGTCATCTGTCTTTTAAACTTTTCCACATTTTGTATTGATTGCTGGTTAAGTAATATACTACATATTGCCCAATAATACGAATCAAGTGTGTGATACTTCTAGTTATATAACTTAATCTGCTTTAGTTGTTCACTTGTTGCTTGACATTAACTGATACACATCCTTCATGGTCAGAGTTAATGCTTGAAGCTATAACCTTGATATAATGCTAGCTCACTGTAATTATCTGAAATTACCTGGGCACACATAAGTTTGATCAACAAAGATGTTTAGTATTTCCAACCTGCATGAACAGCCAGGTGGTCAACAAGGACCACTATAAATGAGGAAGAGAATGTTTTTGAACTTCTGAAAGGAAATGTTTTTGGTTTTTGATCTGTTAAAAGGAAATATATGATATAAAGATTCCAATTCCTGATAAAGAAAAAAGTGAGAGAGCCAAATGGGCACATGGTAGGAAAATGCTTATAGAGACAATATAACTTACTGAATATTGTACAAAAATCATCAACATTCCATGAGGTATGATGAAGTAATTCACTAAGTTAGTGATATTCGTCAAAAACAGCTGAAATTGTGGCAATGTATATATAATTTCCAATCACTCTGGACAATCTAAATGTACTCATTCTGACAACAGTTACCCCAGGTAATTTTTTGGATGTTTCAGAGACCAAAAATTTAATTTAACATTGTCCTCTAATATATATATTTCATGTAAAAAAAAGGGCATTAGAGTGACATTTTTGTTGCCTAAAACATCTTTGAAAAGTAAATTTGTCTGAAAATCTATCTTCATAAAACCAAACAATTACATGGATGAACAATAAAAATTCATCAATTGTCCTGTAACAATTTGACTAACTGCACTCCTTTAAATGAGTATGGTCTCACTCACTCTAGGAGGGTATTAGCTCTACAAAACAATTCTTATATTATGTATTTCTTGTCTACATAGAAGGGCTAATGCAAATTTACAACATTTATGCATCCAGTTTGCAAGAAACTCACTCTCTACATGCACAATGTCTGCATGAAAAGTTAGAAAAAATTACTTGAATATACCTAAGTAAAGATAAGTTCTTTGTTTTTCATATAATGGTAAAAAGTGACTATCTTTCCAATCATCACTTATTTAACTTTTGAACAAAAATGTATTGAATGTATTTTACAATACTGGAAAGAAAAACAAATATATTTAGTTAACAAGACTAATATGAACATAAACTTGTACAAATAATATTTATATATTGAAGAAAATATAAATTATTCAAACATAATTTTTTTTAGCTGAATAACAAGAATACTTAAGATTTTCACTTTCTCATTTTAATTCAGAAATTTTCACAACTATTAATTTATTCTGAATCTATGTAGTTTTCACATAACACATGATCAAGAAAGTTGTTAAGTTGACTTTATTCTAGCTGCTTTTGTTTCTTTGTCATTCTGTAGAGATAATACCTATTCTGCCCTTGGAAGGCACGACTGTAAATTGTGCAAGAATGCCAACAGCCAATAGACTTCTTGAAAGAAGAAAGCCAGTGGATCAATCCACAACTTCAGTCAAAGGCAACCATCCATTTATTCTGAATTTATGTAGATTTAAGCATTCATGCACAGGATCTTAACTGCATTGATTGGTGGGAAGACTTCTTGAAAGAAGAAAGCCAGTGGATCAATCCACAAGTTCAGTCAAAGGCAACCATCCATTTATTCTGAATTTATGTAGATTTAAGCATTCATGCACAGGATCTTAACTGCATTGATTGGTGGGTAGACTTCTTAAAAGAAGAAAGCCAGTAGATCAATCCACAAGTTCAGTGAAAGGCAACCATCCATTTATAATGAATTTATGTAGTTTTCACATAACACATGATCAAGAAAGTCATCAAGTTGAGTTATCCTAGTTGCCTTTATTTCTTTGTCATTCTGTAGAGATAATACCTATTCTGCCCATGGAAGGCAAGATTACAAGGCTGCAAATTGTGCAACAATGTCGACAGCCAGTGTCCTACAATGGTAGGCCAGATGATATCTTGAGGTCAAAACTTCCCCTATGTTTAAGTGAAAAGGAAAAGCCATGTGGGTAGCACTAACTGTTATGAATAAATCTGATATGTTAGATTTAAGCATTCATGCACTGTATCTTAAGTGAGTTGATTGGTTGGTAGACTTCTTGAAAGAAGTAAGCCTGTGGATCAATTTACAAGTTCAGTGAAAGGTGACCATTCAGCATCCAGAAAGCAGGTATACACACATTTTGTTTTTTGCCCTTGATTTAAATGAAGATTGATTTATTTTTTATTACTCATTATGCCCAGTCTGTTTATATGTTTGCTTAAAGTTGTTAGTTAAGTTCAGTATTAGTGCATAATTTATCCTGCCAATCCTTCTGTCATAAAGCTGTTTTACCTAAGAAGTGAGGAAATCAGATTAACCTAAGAATGCCTCAAATAATATAAAGAAATATAAACTTCAACAGTTGGCAGTGTTTATTGGGCTTAAAGTTTATCAAATTAATCCAGTAGACATACCTTTTTAAGAAGTCTGTGTGCTCAGCTTGTCTCACTAAACCTGTCCTCATCATTATAGTCTGGAAACATTGCCTTTCTATTGCCCACAACCTACAGTCATTAACAGCTAGACAATATGAAAAACTCTTTAATGTGATACAATTAAATCCAGCAGATCACTCAAGAAGTAAAGTGAATGAAACTTGTTTTACACACTACATAATCACTTCACTAGGTTTTAATTTTTTAGAGATTCGTATATCAAGACAATACCAGTACCATTCATTAAACCTAAAATATGTTAATTATTCTGTTATTTCTTTTTAAACCTAGTAAAATATTACAAGAGTACTCCTGTATATGAATAGCTGGGCATAACATTTTGATTGCAAGAGACTCCTTCCACTGAAGAAGGTTTGTGTATTAAGAAGTCTCTTGGAATTAATGATAAAATGTACAAGTCATCCTGAAATATTTTACTGAAATTAAAAAAAAAAATCACTAGATCTAAAGTTACCGGATTAACAACTGATATAAAACAGCTATATACAATTTTAGTATACATAATTCATGTTAATTTTTTTCAACTGCTAATGTAAAATAATCTAAACACAAGGTATGAAATATTACTAGTTAATTAGACTTAACATCTACACATTATACTCATAAATGGTTGGTTTAAGACTCATAATGTAAGTAAATTATTATGTAGAATTATAAGCGGACTTTTCTCTATGTTGAAATAATTTTATTGCAAGCTTTCAGTCCTCTTACTGGAGCCTTCATCGGGCAACAATTTATAATTCTACAAGTTCCTGCAAAGGTATAATTACTAAATCATAACACTGTTTTGAAAATTGACCCACAATTAAAAAGTAATATAAAATCTTTCAGAACTTGATATTTATATTAATGCTTCCACACCACAAAATTAACCTTATGCTTTGTTTTAGTTCTAAAAACACTGCAATAAACAACTATTGAACATAATTTCCAATAAATTTAGCATCAGATCTCTCCTTCAATCAGAGACACCTCAATTGTAGGAATTGGACATAAAAAAAATCCAGGATTTATTCAATTTGGTAAAAATATTATAGGATGTAGCACATGATGAGATACGACAATTACAATTTACAATTGAGAAAAATCCAGCAATAAAGTTCAAAGATACTGTGGTGGCACTCAAAAACAGGTATGCTGACAAGAACTGTAGTGACTGTTAGCAACAGTAGCCTTCCGCCAGATCAGAAGACCAAGAACAAGTTCTCCTACTTCAAACAGACAATGAAGAAAGGTCGCATAATTTGATTTGAGCATTGAAAATAGATAATCAATTTTTGTGAGTGACTACTGTTGGCAAGGTGGCACTGTCATTCCAAAACTCTGTCTCTCTTTGACTGCTCATTACTCCCAACTGAAATGTTACCATCATATGTATGGCATACTTGGATAAAGTAGATTCCAGACTTTCCAACAGTGTATGCTATACTTCCAAGTAACAATTACCAGAATTTATTGTTTCTTTCTCTGCCACCAGGATCTGGGAAAGAAATCCTGGGCTCTGGAGCTTCCCCTGATTATGGGTCTCTCATTGTCTCTTACTCCTCCCCTCCCCTCAATAGTGTATATTATTTTTTCTCCTTGCAAGACTCACCAAAATGCAGCATCAGCATATAAATACTACTTTTTTTTATTGAGAGAGATAGTTGGAGGACTTTTTAGAATGGTATGTGTGGAAAATATATGTTAGAGCCCAGGCCCACCAAAGGGCACGAGCCCTGGTAATTTGCACTGGATGTATCCCCCTTCTCCTGGGCCCTGTCTGCTACCTAAAAACACTACTTTGCCTGGGAAAGATTGTGTTAAAAATACCTGCAATAACTTTCATTACTATACTTATGTTTATAAACTTAATGATTTTATATTGATCATTTAAATTTTATATTAATTTCATTTTATTTTCACAGAAAATAATTTATATACATCTTATGCATTTTCTTTCTCAAATGAAAAATCCTTCTAAGCCACTGTTCTCATGAATCAACCATTATCAAGGATTATTTTAACATAAGGGTAAAATCTTTATTTAAAACAAACTTTATGTATAATATGAGAGATTTTTTCATACTTCCCTATATATACACAGGATTCTAAGTTCTTGATGTTTGTACAATAGAGAGAGTTAACACTGAAATCTACTATTTAGTAATTATTACAAACTTCTAATAAAAGTCAGCTAAGACCAGAAATAGAATAGTAATTTAGTATATGATGTGGCTAATTACACATACTAGTCCAACTAGGAGTGTATAGCATCATAAAGCATAAACTTATAATAGTTTGAATGCATTCAATCCTTGCTGGTATCGAGATTTTTTACCATAAATCAATTGTACTATATTAACAGCAGAAGCAATGTAATCAAATATTTTATGTGGTTTTTCCTTCTACCCTTGTTGGTATCAGTATTTTCAGCCATTAGTTTATTATGCATTATATTAACAAAAATAGCTAGCAGTACGATCAAATACTGACCATTACGATCATCACTAGTATTGATATTTTAGACCAAAAGCTAATTCTGCAGGATAAATGAAAGAAACAGTGTGATCAAATATTGGCTGTTTATTTTTTCTATTTCCTCTCTGAATGAAATCAGTACTTTCAGCTATAACTTAATTGTATTATATTGTTGCGTCAGCGAGGTGACGTGACTAGTATCACGCCACTTCTTTCTCGAACCTTCGTGAATTGTCGGGAGATTACTAGATTGGGGGTAGTCTGGTATATATAAGATGGTCACAACGTGACGGTGGAATGGGTAGGTAATGAGTAATTGAACTGCAGTCAGAGAGTGTGTAACTGAGATTGTCGAGCACGAGCACGTGAGACATTCTAGCGTTTGTTATAGCACGACTGTTGAAATTAAATGTATCGGTAAAGTT